TAAATAAGGATGTATGTATGTATGTACGTACGTATGTATGTCAAGAGCCAGGCGAAAGCTGGCAAGTGCGTGGCTGCTAAAACGGAGCTCCGGGAAGTTGTTTCTTCCAGGAAGCAGCCCGTTTACTATCTAGCACGCTGAATCATATTCTGGTAGTGTGATTGATGTATTTGTGTGTATGCTTGTTTGTATATACGTATGTCTCTTTGTATGGTTGTATGTATGTATGCATGTGCGTAGGTATGTATGTATATGTCTGTATGTGTCTGTATGTGTTTGTCTGCCTGTCTGGCTGCCTGTCTGTCTGTCTGCCTGTCTGTGTCTATCTGGCTGTCTTTCTGTGTCTGTGTGTTTGTGTGTCTGTGTGTCTGTGTGTCCTCCCCTTCCTCCTCCTCAGATTCCTCCTCCATCTTCCCCCTCTTGGGAAATGACGGCTCACCCAGCCCTTGACTTCACTGCATGTTGCATGCTCCTCCACATCCCTGATCAGGACAACTCGCCTGGGCCTCGTTTCTGGAAGGGCTGGTGGGGTTCCGCCAAGCGTCTAAAATATATGTACATTGATCTAGACCTGTCTGGATGTGCCTCGATTTCTCTAGACGTACCTCGACTTGCCTGGCTCGATCCGCGCAAATCGATTGGACAAGAGTCGTGAAGCCCTTAAGGATCCATCCCAAAGCTCCGCAAAGGGGGGGCCTTCCGCCGTGCTGTGTCACTGGATGTGTCGACGTGCACGTGCAATCCACACGCACGCGCATCAGAGTCGCACACGCCCAACGCCTGAACCCGTGCACACGTCGGCCTGCATTCGTGCGCCCGTGCCCTGAGTGGGCGCCCCCCTCCAGACGGTGCACGAGGACGCAGATCCTTCCCGGGCAGGCCTGCGCCCCTCTTCCCGCTCCCCGCTCCTCCTCGTGCCCTTCGTCGCCATCCTCCCCCACCTCCTCCTCTTCGGCTTCATCGTCATCCCCCCTGCCCTCTTCCTCCCCCATCCACCACCTGTTCCTCTTCGGCCTCCTCCTCCGCTTCCTGCTCGCTCTCCTCGTCCCTCCCATATTCGCGCACGGACCCCACGGGGTCTTTGTGGCCGCCGCGTCAAGGGTCTCGGACACGGAGCTCAGCTTCGGAAGCTCCTTCTCGCCGCCTCGTCGGCGGCACGTGGAAGGGAACGGAAGCAATGGGGGAGAGCAGAAACAAATTGCATAAACCAAAGTTCTGGAGGTCCGCGCGAATTTCTTGGATCAGCACTGGACCTCCCTGGCGGCGCCTCTGGCACCACCGCCCCTAGCGCGCTCCGCGCGCCAGGGAGGGGAGTCCGCACGGACTTCCGAAAGTGTTTGTCTTTGCAGCTTGTTTTCGTATCCTTAGTGCTCTTATTACGAGTCACATCCGTAGCTATCTTATTGATTTGAGGAAAAGAAAAAGAGACAGAGGGAGAAAGAAAGAGAGAGAGAGAGAGCTAAACAACGGGAGGGAACCTCCTCACTGCTCCCGCCTTTCCCACCTTCTCGTCCAACCCCTCCCTTGAGGGGGGACGATAGGGGGGGGAACGCCCTAGGGGGGAACATCGAACTGGCATCGGCGATACATCGCCGCTAGACCAGCGATAGGCCCCCGATAGCGAAACAACATGTACCCTGGCGGGGTGGGCTATCGGGCCCCAAACCGGCGATGAATGGTCGACTGGGGGTGGACGCATCCCCGCTGACCCGACGCCTCCCTGGAGGAGGGGGGGCAGGGCCTTGGCGAAGCTGCAGTGGGGCGGGTCCAGCTCCCCCCCCCTCCCCGCGGACTTGGTTGCGCAGGGCCGCTCTCCTCCTCCTCCTCCTCCTCCTCCTCCTCCTCCTCCTCCTCCTCCTCCTCCTCCTCCTCCTCCTCCTCCTCCTCCTCCTCCTCCTCTGCAGAGGGGCCAGCTTCGACTGCCCGCCCTCCCCCCGCGCCCACCCGCCCACCGCGGACTTGCTGGCGCAGGGCCCTTGGAGCGCTCCTGCAGCGGGGTCCGCTTCGGTCGGCCGGACCCCGTGGTCGGGTGCTGCCGGAGAGGTGCCCCTGGCCCACAGTGCCCCCAGGAGTTCGAAGGAGGCCACCAGGGCCTTCAGAGCACTCCTCGCGAGGCCCAGAGGTCCCCGGGGGCTCCAGAGTGGAGCGGAGAGCTGGGGGCACCTCGGGCCAGGGGCACCTTCAGCAATCCCCGACCTGGCCCATCCGGGCCGCCAGCAGCTCGCGAGGACGTCCCGCAACTGCCCGAGCGCGCGGGGCGCTGGCGCCGGCCGCTGGCATCCTTGCTCGCGGGCCTGGTTCTCGGGGCGACAGGAAGGCTTGCCCAGCTCGGCTCGATGCGTTTTTGCCCAGTGGTCGCCCGATGATTCGAGCGAGTCCAGTGCGTCATGTGCCTCCGCCTCCTTCTACAGTAGTCGCGCTGCCACGAGGAACGTCCGACAAAGAACGAAGGTGTTCTCTGGCCGCGGCGAGCCTCGTCCGCGAACAGGCTCCACGGCCTGGAGCCAGGGGACGGTCCGAAAACCAGAGGCTCTCCCGAGCCCTAAATGGTCCTCATTACAACGTCTTGACTGTGCGTAAGTGTGCCTCCACCTCCGCCTGCTCAAAAAGTCGGGGGCCACGCGCCACACGGGAGTTGCTGCCGTCTCTCGCGCGCACCGTGGACGAAACGGGCACCTTCGCGCCCGCGTCGCGGCGGGGAAAAGAACGCGCCGAGCGCCGCCAGGGCTGCGTAGGCCCTGGCGGGGCTAATAGGATGCAGTGCATCACGAGATGGCGCGCGATGATGGGGCGGGCCGTGGGTTTTGGATGACCAGCGCCCTTCACGCTTGGAGGGCCGCTGATACGCGTTAGCTTTCCCCGCCACCCCTTGCACAAGCCCCCGCGCAAATCTCTTGAGGGCCTCCGCTTCATGCACCGTGGGGTGTGCCTTTCACACCCTCGTTTGGCTTTTCCTCCTCCTCCTCCTCCTCCTCCTCCTCCTCCTCCTCCTCCTCCTCCTCCTCCTCCTCCACCTCCATCCTCCTCCTCCTCCTCCTCCTCATCCTCCTCCATGACTCTCTCCTCCTCCTCCTCCTCCTCCTCCTCCTCCTCCTGCTCCTCCGTCCTCCTCCTCCTCCTCCCCTCCTCCTCCTCCTCCTCCTGCCTCCTCCTCCCCTCCTCCTCCTCCTCCTCCTCCTCCCCCCCTCCTCCCCCTGCTCTGCTCCCTCCCCCTCCTCCCACTCCTTCCTCCTCCTCCTCCCTCCTCATCATCATCCTCCCCTGTCCTCTTCCTCCTCCTCACCCCACCCATCCCTCTTCCTCCTCCTCCCTCCTCCTCCTCCTCCTCCTCCTCCTCCTCCTCCTCTCCTCCTCTTTCTGCTCCTCCTCCTCTTCTGCTCCTCCCTGCCTCCTCCTCCTCCTCCTCCTCCTCCTCCTCCTCCTCCTCCTCCTCCTCCTCTCTCCTCCTCCTCCTCCTTCCTCCTCCTCCTCCCTCCCTCCTCCTCCTCCTCCTCCTCCTCCTCCCCTCCCACTCCTCCTCCTCCTCCTCCTCTCCTCCTCCTCTCTCCACCTCATCCTCCTCCTCCTCCTCCCCCTCCTCCCTCCCTCCTCCCTCCTCCCTCCTCCCTCCTCCCTCCTCCCTCCTCCCATCCCTCCCTCCTCCCTCCCTCCTCCCTCCTCCCTCCCTCCTCCTCCCTCCTCCTCCTCCTCCTCCTCCTCCTCCTTATTATTCTTCTTCTTCTTTCTTCTTATTATTATTATTCTTCTCTTAATATTCCTCTTATTATTATTCTTATTATTAATATTATATATTATTATTATTATTATTATTATTATTATTCTTCTTATTCTTCTTATTATTATTATTATTATTATTCTTCTTTTTCTTCTTATTATTCTTCTTCTTCTTCTTCTTATTCTTCTTCTTCTTATTATTATTACTATTATTATTCTTATTATTATTCGTATGCTTCTTATTCTTATTATTCTTATTCGTATGATTTTTATTCTTCTTAGTCTTCTTATTATTACTATTATTATTATTCTTATTCGTCTTATTCTTCTTCTTATTATTCTTATTCTTATTATTATTATTCTTATTATTTTTCTTATTATTCTTCTTATTATTCTTATTATTATTCTGAGTCTTCTTATTATTCTTCGTATTCTTATTATTCTTCTTCTTATTATTATTGTTAGTGATATTATTATTAGTATTATTATTATTAATAATAATATTATTATTGTTATGAGTAGTATTGTTATTGTTATTATTATTAGTAGTATTATTATGATTATTATTAGTATTACTAGTATTATTATTATTACTATTATTATTATTATGATTAGTATTGTTAGTATTATTCTTTTTATTATTATTATTTTTAGTATGAGTATTATTAATATTAGTATTAGTATTATTATGATTATTCGTAGTATTCTTATTATTCTTCTTATTATCATTATTAGTATTAGTAGTATTCTTAAGATTATTCTTCTTATTATTCTTCATATTATTCTGATTCTTCTTCTTCATATTATTATTATTATTCTTATTATCAGTCTTCTCATTCGTATTCTTATTATTATTCGTATTATTATTTTTCTTCGTCTTATTATTAGTATGCTTATTATTATTATTAGTATTATTCGTCTTCGTCTGCTTCGTCTTCTTCTTAATATTATTAGTATTCGTAGGCTTCTTATTCTTCGTCTTATTATTCTCCTTATTATTATTTTTCTTATTCGCCGTATTCGTCTTATTATTATTCTTATTAGTCTTCTGAATCGTCTTATTCTTTTTCGTCTTCGTATTATTCTTCGTCTTCTTATTATTATTATTAGTATTCTTCTTATTATTATTATTATTATTCGTCGTATTCTTCTTATTCTTCTTATTATTATTATTCTTATTAATACTATTCGTCTTCTTCTTAGTCTTCTTATTATTATTATTCGTCGTATTATTATTATTCCTCCTCCTCCTCCTCCTCCTCCTCCTCCTCCTCCTCCATTTTGGCTCAAGCGATCGCATGCCCGTCGCCTCGGCCGTCCCCGCGATGGCCGCCGCGCGAGGGGCTAGAGGGGCTCTCTCGGTCTCGGACGGCGCCGCCCTCGTTGCTGCCGCTGTCCGTGCCGCGGTGCTGGCCAAAGCACCGCGGCGCACGGTCGCTGCCGTGGCGCGCTCGGCTGTGTCGGCGGTGGCGTTCGCTGCTGAGGCACCGCCTGCGGCGCAGCCTGGTGGCGATGGCGCCGCGAATGCTGGCAAGCAGGACCCGCCTCCCCTGACGGCGGCAAAGGTTGAGCGACGTCGCCGTCGGCGCCGTCGCCTCGCGGAGCGGCGCGCTGCGGCGCGCGCTGGGCGGCCTGATGCAGCTGATGGGGATCGTGGAGTGCGTGCTGTTGTCGGGAAAGCTCATGGCGATGCGGCCGCATCCGACGTGAGCTTGGACGACGACTCCTGGGCCGACGGCGTGTCGCGGCCCGCTCCGCTGGCGGCTGCCGCCGGTGGTTCGGGCGCTGACTGCCCCGGCCCTTCCGCTGCCGCTGGGCCCGCGATGCTCTCGGACGCTGTGGTTGGGCCTTCGCGGCCCTTGGTGGAGGATCTCAGCACGCTCTCGCGCGAGCAGCTCGTCGCGGCGACGTTCGCGCACTTCGAGGCGACTGGCCTGTCCACCGATGGCTTCTCTTCGGCGGTCTTCGAGCAGTTGTCGGACGAGCTCCTGCGCACGCAGCTCGCCATGCTCAGGGCCGAGCTTTGAGAGGCTGGCCTGCCTGGGCCCCGCTGTCACCTTGTGGTTGGGCCGCTGCTTGCATGCCCCAGGTGCGCAGTGGGTGTTCCCAGGTAGGCCCTTCCCCTTCGGTCGGCGGCACGTGTGAGCCTCTCACGGAAGCTCGGTTGCCGTCTGGCCGTCGGGGCTCCATATCTAGCCTGCCGTCGTTTGTGCAAGCAGACGACGTTCCAGTCGGCGCCCACCTCCTCCTCCTCCTCTTCCTCCTCCTCCTCCTCCTCCTCCTCCTCCTCCTCCTCCTCCCCCCCCCCCCCCCCGCCCCTCCCCTCTCCTCCTCCTCTCTCCTCCTCCTCCTCCTCCTCCTCCTCCTCCTCCTCCTCCTCCCCACCTCCTCCTCCTCCTCCTCCTCCTCTTCCTCCTCCTCCTCCCTCCTCCTCCTCCTCCTCCTCCTCCTCCTCCACCTCCTCCTCCGTCCTCCTCCTCCTCCTCCTCCTCCTCCTCCTCCTCCTCCCCTCCCCTCCTCCTCCCTCCTCTCCTTCCTCCTCCTCCTCCTCCTCCTCCTCCCTCCTCCTCCTCCTCCTCCTCCTCCGCCTCCTCCTCCTCCTCCTCCTCCGCCTCCTCCCCTCCCTCCTCCTCCTCCTCCTCCTCCTCCTCCTCGCCTCCTCCTCCTCTACCTCCTCCTCCTCCTTCCTCCTCCTACCTCTCCCTCCTCCTCCTCCTCCTCCATCCTCCTCCTCCTCCACATCCCCTCCTCCTCCTCCTCCTCCTCCTCCTCCTCCTCCTCCTCCTCCTCCCACCTCCTCCTCCTCCTCCTCCTCCTCCTCCTCCTCCTCCGTACCCCCTTTGGCTCAAGCACAGGTGGTCCAAGGCTCAGTACCCGTCTGTGCCCAGTTTGTGCTCGAGCGAGTCATTTGCCGCCTAGCTCTGCGCATCCACGTCGGCGCTTGAGGGACACCGAATCGGCTACGCCGCAGCTCGTGCGCCGCAGATTCTGGATAGCAAGCCAGTGCGAGTTTGAAGTCGGGCAGCACACTCCGTCGTACGACCAGTTCTCTGGAGGTCTACGCAGCGGGCGATAGCTGTCTCAGTTGCGCCCACTTAAGCTCGGACATACTGGCTTCCCGCGGCTGAGGCAGCCTCACAGGTGATCGAACTTCTGCGCCACTGGTGGTGTGGTATTCAATGTGAGGTACGTCCACGCTCAGGGTGAAAGTAGTATCCCGAGTAGTTTGTCAAAAACTGTTGCCAAATGGTTGGGCAACGCTTCATCACAATAGCAAGACTTAAAGGTGGTATCGGGGGTCTTGTATTGCCTACGCGGTGTTCTGGTAGAGCCGTGAGATGTCACAGTTGCTTTATTCGGGGAGGCGGCGTGGCGCAGCTTCCGTGTTCGTGGAGGTGCTCTTGGTGTGCGTACGCGTGTTCTTCCTTGTCGTCTCGATGCCATACGGGGTCAGGGCATGTGTGTTGTGACATGGCATGGCCATGGCGTCCTCGCCACTCCACTCCTCGTCCTCTTCCCCTCCTCCTCACGACGTGGCAGCGCCTCCCCCGCAAGAGCGAGCAGGCGTGCGCTGCAGGCAGGGACCATGGCCTCACCTGCGACTGCGGGCCTCGCCCGCACGCGGCACGCACAGGTCGAGCTCGGCCGCACTTCTGGCGTCAGACCTCCTCGCGCCTCGTCCGTGTCCCCGTCGTGAAAGGGAACGACATGGAGGGGCCAGCTGTCCTGACTCAGGGGGGGAGGGGAGGGGCATCGTCACGGAATCGGCGATACATCGCCGCTAGATCAGCGATAGGCCCCCGACGTCGAATCCGCGATGTCCTGGGCGGGGTGGGCCATCGGGCCCCCATGTCGGCCATGAGTGGGCGAATGGGGTTCGATGCATCCCCCCCTCAGGCCTATCACCCCCTCACGCTGCCCCTGGCCCGTCCGCCCTGATCACCCTCCTGCTCCTGCCTCCTCCCGGCACCGATCTGCCGCCGCAAAGAGCCGCCCCCACAAGAGAAGAAGAGAAGCTGGCCGACCAGCAGCCGCTGGCGCGGGGCCTGGATCTTCGGTCAACGGTATCTGCCCCGCGCGACGCCCAAGGAGGGACGAGGACAACGACAACGACAACGACAACGACAACGACAACGACAACGACAACAACAACAACAACAACAACAACCACCACCACCACCACCACCACCACCACCACCACAACAACAACAACAACAACAACAACAACAACAACAACAACAACAACAACAACAACAACAACAATCATTTTACCCGAACGCTCAGTGTTCTCACCAGTGCCAGGGTTTTCATGCGACGCGAGACAATACCCCCACTTCGTGGGGGGGCAGTTCAAGCTCTACCAAATATCCAAACGACTCTTCGCGACCACCCAAACCCAGCTTCCCGCCCTATGACGTTGGGACACTTCACTTCGTGGCGTGCGGACGACCGTGGCTACTACACTGGCGTGGGGTACACACCCACAGAACTTGGTCACTTATTCGGGGCGCGCGTGTGCCCAGCATCCTGCAATTGTGACATACAATACATGACACAGACAGACAGAGAGAGAGACAGAGAGCAGACAGAGAGAGAGACAGAGAGAGCGGAGTTGGTCACATTTTTGGGGCAAGTTCCTGAGATCGTCGTGTTTTTTGTTGGTCTTGCGCGCGCGAATGTCCACTTTACTTTTTTTTGCAAGGGAGTATTGAAATTTGATTATGTTAGAACAAGAAAAAGTAGCTCGCGCGAGCTCATGTAACATAAATGTTGAAAAACCATTGGTTTTGTGGGAGTCGGACAGCGCGCGCGGGATGAAATTTGGACATTTTTTTTTGAAAAACCATTGGGTTTTTGATGTTTTTATGTTGAAATCGTTACGAAACCTAAGGTTCTGGAAGGATTTCGTCTTGCGCGCGCGAATGTCCACTTTACCTTATTTTTTGCAAGGGATTATTGAAATTTGATTATGTTAGAACAAGAAAAAGTAGCTCGCGCGAGCTCATGTAACATAAATGTTGAAAAACCATTGGTTTTGTGGGATTCGGACAGCGCGCGCGGAAGGACATTTTGACAATTTTTTCTTAAAAAACCATTGGGTTTTTGATGTTTTTATGTTAAAATCGTTACGAAACCTAAGGTTTTGGAAGGATTTCGTCTTGCGCGCACGAATGTCCACTTTACCTTATTTTTTGCAAGGGATTCTTGCAATTTGATCAAGTAAGAACAAGAATTTTCATTTTATAGTGTTTTTTGCAAGGGAAAACGGATTACAACAAAACAACCGGATCCGGTGACAATCCACTTTTCTGAAGCTTTCGCTAGAAAATGAAGGAAATGAGGCTGCGGCCTAGGTTTTGGAGGGGGGTCGCGCACCAGGGGTCCCAACAATAATTATTCTTTAGAAGTAATAATATTCAATCATTGTAAGACTGGTAGCCCTTATCTGCTCGAGTGTCCAATAAAGCGTATTTCCCAAACCCTCGATACCCGCCCTCTTCGTCTTCGATCGAACCCCTGCTGGGGGGTATACCTTTCTGCCCTGCAGGCCGGGCCCCGGCAAGCGGCGGGGCGGCCGAGGACCGTCGGCCGGGCCAGCGGCAGCGCTGATCGGCGGGGCGGCCGCGGACCATCGACCCGACCCCAAGAGGGACGGATAGGGGACCGACCACGACGACGACGACGACGACGTCGACGACGACGGCGACGACGACGACGACGACGGCGACGACGAGCGAAAGCGAGAGCGAGAGAGAACGACAGCAGGGCCACGAAGGACACGAAGTAGGCCACGAAGGGCGACAGCGGGGACCCGAAGGGAATGCGTATGGGGCCACGAAGAACGCGAACGAGCGGGGGCCACGAAGGGCTGATAATGCGGGGCCACAGAAGGCAACGATGGGGCCACTGAGGGTAGCAACTGGGCCACGTAGGACAATGAGGGGGCCTCAAACGGCGACAGCGGAGCCACGAAGGGCACGCACATGGGGCCACAAGGGGCGCGACTCCTGGATGCCTGGGTGTCGGGAGCGCGGCGCTTGAGCAAATTGCAGGATATTCCAATACAAGCACGTCTCCAGCGAGAGCGCGACTCCAGAGCGCCGGGAGAGCGATTCCTGAATAAATTGTAACGAAGTCCCAAGCGAGAGCACGATTCCTGAATAAAGTGTGAGGACATTTCGGGCGGGAGCGGGGGACCTGGCCAAATTGCGAGGAAGTCTCAGGCGGGAGCCGTTGTTGTTGTAACCTGGGGGCCAGGGGCCCAGTTTGAGCATCAAGACTTCCCTTGTCAAAAAACAAGGGTCGAGCGTCGAGGGGCATACTTTCATTGAAAAACAATACGCATCAATGGGGGATCCACAATGGTTATTCCTCAAAAAGTAGAACTCAACAACAACCACAACAACAACAACAACAACAACAACAACAACAACAACAACAACAACAACAGCAGCGGCAGCAGCAGCAGCAACAGCAACAGCAACAACAACAAGAACAGCAACAACAACAGCAACAACAACAACAGCAGCAGCAACGACAACAACAACCACAACAACAAAAACAACAAACACAACAACAACAACAACAACAACAACAACAACAACAACAACAACAACAACAACAACACCACCACCACCAACAACAGCAACAACAACAACAACAACAACAGCAACCACAACAACAGCAATAGCAACAACAGCAACAACAACCGCAGCAGCAACAGCAACAACAGTTTAACAATAACAACAACTACAGCAACAACGACAACAACAACAGCAACGACAACAACAACCACAACAACAACAGCAGCAGCAGCAACAACATCATCATAACAACAACACCGACAACAACAGCAACGACAACGACAACGACAACGACAACAACAACGACGACAACAACAACAACAACAACAACAACAACGATCAGTTTGAGCCTGTTCGCTCTTGTGCGCTTCGTGGCCCCGCTGTCGCCCTTTGTGGCCCCCTCGCTGCCTTTCGTGGCCCCGTTGCTGCCCTCAGTGGCCCCGTCCTTGCCCTCTGCAACCCAATATACGTATGCCCTTCGTGGCCCCCGATCGTTCACGCCCGTCGTGGCCCCATATGCATGCCCTTCGTGGCCCCGCTGTCGCCCTTTGTGGCCCCCTCGCTGTCCTGCGTGGCCCCGTTGCTAACCCCGTCGTTGCCCCCTGTGGCCCCGCATTATCTGCCCTTCGTGGCCCTCGCTCGTTCGCGCCCGTCGTGGCCCCAAATGCATGCGTTTCGTGGCC